CACAGGGCTGGAGAGATGACTTAGTGATTAAGAGTATTTCCAGGGGACTCAAGTTTGGTTCCCAGGACCTGGAGTGGGCAGCTCATGGGCCACCTCAAACTGCAGCTTCTTCTGAACATCCAATGCCTTGTTCTGGTTTCCACAGGCAGGCCCCCCCCCTCCACAGACATATTAAAAACAATAGTAAAATAAATAAGAAATAAAAAGACTATGCCTGGCCAGGCAGTGGTGTTGCACACCTTTAATCCTAGCACTAGGGAGGCAGAGCCAGACGGATCTCTGTGAGTTCGAGGCCAGCCTTGTCTGAGTTCCAGGACAGCTAGATACATAGAGAAACCCTGTCTCGAAAACAAAACAAACACAAAGCAAAGGACTAGGCTTGATTTACCTTTGCTCTGCCCAGCTCTGTGCCCAGCTGTACCCAGTGTCACTTGTTTATTTTTATCATCAGACTTACCACAGAGTATCAAAATTGTTTTTCCGTCCCCCGCCCCCCCCCAGTTGGATTGCTGGCTTTGAGAGGTGACCCCGGTGAGCACTGTGTCCCTAGCATAGGCTTAGCAGGCTCATGATGAGTATTTGTTGAATGAGTTGATTCGTCTTTTTGAACTGATTGGAGATTGGCCAGAAGTTCAGGGCATTTTAAAACCAAATGAAATTATCTCCTTGTAGTAGCACATGCCTTTAATCCCAGCACTCCAGAGGCAGAGCAGGCAGATCTGAGTTTGAGGCCAGCCTGGGCTACACAGTGAGACCCTGTCATACATACACAGACAAATTAAAGTACTAAGTGGGATATATAGCCAAGCCTGGGAAACCAGATAAATCCTTCAGAGATGATGCCCGAGAGGTCAGAAGGATGAGAACATTCTGTTGGTAGAAGGAGTACAGAATTTAGAATAAAGGGAAAGAGCCTGGTGTGTTCCAGACTTTCAGGCTGGAGATTTGGTCCTCAAGGACTAGTGGCTGCAGGTCAGGGCACCTACTCTTTAGTGTGCAGTGCTCTTCACTGGTCCTGTGGTGTGCTGAGCCCTAACTGAGAAATGAACTGGCCAAGCCAGAAGGCACTTTATCTTAGAGGTTAATGGAGTCATGACATGTGATCGAGAGCAGTACCCTTCCCAGGAACCGATACTAGGATTCTAAGGCAACACAAGTTCATATTTATATTATGTTTATGGGCACACAGTTGACATATAAAAGTGCTTCCTTGTTCCCACTCTTAGTGTAGACCAGCTGGGACAAGCCCCGCTGCTCAGCCCTGTTAAGTAGCATGGTGTAGGTCACATCTTGTTTGCAGACGGACAATTGACTGGACAAGGACTGAGGGAAGCCCAGGTCAGGGAAGGTGGTTTTGTTTCTCTAATGCAGGCCAGTGATGGTGCTGTGCTAATCTAAGTGAGTGGACCAAGTGTGGCCATGGAGGTGAAGCGACAGATTAAGAAGTAGGAATTAAAAGATACTTTCCAATGCCAGTTGAGGTGGTGCATGCCTGTAATCCAGTACTGGGCAGACTGAGGCAGGAGGATTGCTGTGAGTTAGAGCCAGTCTGGCCTCCACAGAGAGTAGTGGCCAGCCAAGGCCACTTCCTAAGCCTGTGTCAACAACAAAACAGAAACACAGACCATCACCAAACAACACACCCAGGGTTTTGGTGCTGGCTGTTGGTGACAGTGGTTGAGATCTGGATCGGAGATGTTTGAAGAAGAGGGATGAGTGCAATCCTGAGTATGTGAAGGTTGGACAAGTGTGGTGACCTCTAGCAGGAAGTGTCCAAGAGCAGCAGGAAAGAGCCTGCTGTATTTTTGAATTCTTAAGAAACTTCCTGTTCCAGCCCAGCACGGACTCCTTCCTTGTCTCTGACCTACACACGCAGCTTATTGTGATGCTGATAACTCTGAGAGAGACCTGGGGCAGGAGGAGGAGTGTGGGCCAGGAGAGGAAGGGGCATTGGCAGGATTCCCTGGAGATGCCCAACTTTGAAGTGCTCTGAGATCGGCAAATCCCACCGTGACCACTGGGTGGCAGTAGTGCCTAAGACAAGTGGCGCTGGCCTAGGGGCACTGGGTCTTTCTCTGTCTGATGGGTTTTTGACTCCACAATTGACCCTTGCGTGCCATAGAAGTGCTTACAGGTCAGGTAGGAGCATGTGGCCCATTCCCAAAGATGGTAAGTTGTCCTGAAGTGAACCAGACAGGCCACTGACCTAGAGTCTTACAGGGAGGGGCCTCTGGCCAGTCAGACTGAGTCTTTCCTTCCACAGGCTGCCCCTACACAGGGGTTGGTAATAAACAGGAAGGGGTGTGGCCACATGGCCAGCCTGCTTGGCCATGTGACAAAGGAATGCGCTCCACACCCATGTCTTTGTGCCAGTAGACGGTGCAGGTACCCGTGTACTCAGAGCAGGAGTACCAACTCTACCTTCATGATGATGCGTGGACCAAGGCAGAGACTGACCACCTCTTTGACCTCAGCCGCCGATTTGATCTGCGATTTGTAGTTATTCATGATCGGTATGACCACCAGCAGTTCAAGGTGAGCTGGAGTGCCCAACCTTCCTGCCGTCCCTTCCGGATGCTTCTCAATGTTCATCCCCATGTGTCTTGATTCTCAGAAGCGTTCTGTAGAGGATTTGAAAGAGAGGTACTACCACATTTGTGCCAAGCTTGCCAATGTGAGGGCTGTGCCAGGCACAGATCTCAAAATCCCAGTATTTGATGCTGGGCATGAGAGACGGCGGAAGGAACAGTTGGAGCGGCTTTACAACCGGACCCCAGAGCAGGTCATGACCTCTTCTCCATACCTGAAACCCTTTGCCTCCCCACCCTCCATGGCCTCAACTCTCTCCCCGAAGCCCCTCCCCCTTCAGCCCGTTCTTCCCCTCCCTGCAGGTTCCTTCCCTCTGGTTCCTTCCCTCATAGATACCCTGGTATCCTTGAGCTCCCTGGCCGCCTGCTCCCACACAGCCCTCACACATGCCAAAGCATTTCTTGCTTTTGCAGGTGGCAGAGGAGGAGTACTTGCTACAGGAGCTTCGTAAGATCGAGGCCCGGAAAAAAGAGCGGGAAAAACGCAGCCAAGACCTGCAGAAGCTGATTACAGCAGCAGACACCACCGCAGAGCAGCGGCGCACAGAACGCAAGGCCCCCAAGAAAAAACTACCCCAGAAGAAGGAGGCTGAGAAGCCGGTGTGGAGGCTGACCCGACAAGCTCAGGGTGGAAGGGTCATCTGGACAGGGTCCCAGCTGCAGGGGGCATTCTGACAGTGCCCGGAGTCAGTGGGTCCCTGGGCTACTCTCCACATGAAATCTTAGGCTAATTCTTCCTGCAGGCCGTTCCTGAGACTGCAGGCATCAAGTTTCCAGATTTCAAGTCGGCAGGTGTCACACTGAGGAGCCAGAGGGTGAGTTACCATCCTCAGTGTTTAAGCCGCGGGCTCCAAATGGCTTCAGTGCTGCAGCTGCTGAGGCGAGTGCAGTGGGCGAGGGGACTGGAAAGAGGTGGCCTCGCCAGGATCTCACGACACGGCCGGCTTGAGGTTGCCTTTCCACTTCCCCACTTCTCAGCTTGTTCCATTTCAGCCATAGCTACCTGGCAGAGGTTCCCCGTGAGCCCCTGTTCAACCCTCTTCACCGTAAATGTCGTCAGGGGCGCAGGACTTAGCTGACTGTCATTGCAGATGAAGCTGCCCAGCTCTGTGGGTCAGAAGAAGATCAAGGCTCTGGAACAGATGCTGCTGGAGCTGGGTGTGGGTGAGTGACGCCGAGCCTCCCGGGCTCGATAGCCCCTCTCCCTGGGCTGTGCAAGGGAGGGTAGTTGATCCTGCAGGCCTTCAGCCCTGCTCTGGCTCTGTCTGGCCTGCAGAACTGAGCCCCACCCCCACAGAGGAGCTGGTGCACATGTTCAACGAGCTGCGGAGTGACCTGGTGCTGCTCTACGAGCTCAAGCAGGCCTGCGCCAACTGCGAGTATGAGCTGCAGATGCTGCGGCACCGGCACGAGGCCCTGGCCCGGGCAGGGGTGCTGGGGGGCCCTGCCACACCAGCAGTGGGACCCGCCCCGGCCTCTGCGGAGCCAGCCGTGTCTGAATCTGGACTTGGCCTTGACCCCACCAAGGACACCATCATTGATGTCGTGGGGGCACCCCTCACTCCCAATTCGGTAAGAGCCTGGGCAGGCTTTGGGGAGCATGCCCTGGCTCTGGGCGAGAAGGCATGTGTGTACAGTCCCCACTCCCTCCAGGCCCTTCAAGGGAATGTTCCCACTGTGAGGGAGGAGGGTGAGGACAGGAGCGGGTTGACTATGGGCCTCTTCTCTGAGAATGACAGGCACTGAGCCCCGAGCCGCACCTCAGGCCACTAACCTCAACACTTTCTGTCTCTTCAGCGGAAACGACGGGAATCTGCCTCCAGCTCATCTTCTGTGAAGAAAGCCAAGAAACCATGAGGGGCCACTAGGGTTGGTGGTACGGTGTAAATAGAGCTGTTCCACTGGACTGGGCTGATTGGGCTGGTTCTGTTTCCTTACTTCCTCACACCCTTGCTGGGGTGACAGGCTGAGAGACTGATCACTACAGCGAGTCCCTGAAGGCTTGCTTGCAATGCCCAGTCAGGCCCGCACCTCCAACACCTGTGCTTTTGTGTTTAAGATGGCCTTGCACACAGCAGGCAGGGGACTCAGATAGCCGCAGCTTTTGGCAGGTCCTTGTGCTCCGGGTCTAGTGAAGGCATGGAAGGTACTAGAGTGCCAGCTGCTGACATGCTGATGGCTTTGTGTGCAGAGGGAGCCTGGAGCATTAGCACAGCAACAGCCTCACACACAGGGACCTCGTTTCCCCGACTTTATTCAGTGGCACGTTCACAGCAGGGATGGGGGTGGACACAAGGTGGGGCCTGTTCTGTCCTGGAGCCCGGGGGCACCACACACCATGCACTATGGATGAGAGGGGGCACAGGGGGGACTTGGTGGTCCCAGCAGAAGCCTGTGTACAAGGGAGAAGGCAGTGAGTACCTGGGTTCCCCCTAGCCCAGGCCCGTAATGGCAGGGGCTAATACTGGGCTGAGACTGAGGAGTGGGAGGGGGTGGGGCACAAAGTGTCTGCTCCAGAGGGGCCAAGTGGCCAAGCCCTCCCCCAGGGCGCAAGCCCACAGGGCAGCTGGGGGACACTCTGGGCGCAGAGCTGTGCCACTCTCCCTTTCCCCTCTGGTGAGGGAGAGGATTCTGGTTTGGGCCAAGCAGCTACCCTGTCATGCCCCATCCCGTCCTCTGCCAATCAGAAGGGCTTTGATGTCTGCTTGAAGATGAAGCCTCGGTATGCCAATGTCTTCATGATGTTGGCAATGTTCTTGCAGTCATCTAGAGAGAAGAGAAGACATTTAGACAGGGGCCAGATTCAGGAGCCATAGGCCTGAGGAGGACATCCCTGGCTCTGGTGGCAACATCTCCAGCCCTGGGTTGGGCCGGGTGACACTGAACTGCAGGAAGCCTGGACTCGGTGCTTCTCAGTCCCATAATTCATGCTGGAAATTGGCCGCTGTGTCCCATCCCAGCCCCAGCGGTGATGTATGGGCGCCGTCGCAGTAAGAAAAAGGCAGAGTAAATGTGTAATTTCTCCCTTGACGGCCCCTGGCCGCTGGGCGATCCTTCTTGTTGCTGCCGCGTGGGGACGGCCTGTCCGCCACACTCCGTCTTCCCGCCACCCGCCTTGATGTCTCCATTTCATTACTGTGCGGCCATTCATCACACCCACGGCCAGGGTGACTTTGTCGGCACTTGTGTGTGGGGAACTGTGGTCCAGGCCATACTCAACTGGTGACCAGGCACAAGACTTGGCACGAGTGTGCCAGAATCCTGGGAAACACTTGTTCTGGCTCTCTCTCCATGTAGCTCCCGACAGGCTGGGGAAGGCCCTGGCTCATGTGCAAGCAGACCTCCAGACACACGTGTCACTAGGTAAACTACATCCTGCCGCCTCTGTCCAAGTAGGCTGGCTGCTGGCCACCTTTGGAGAGGTTGTCATGGGAGCTTACTCCATGCTGTAAGCTACTGTGGTAGACTGGAGGCTGCAGGGACTCTGGGGACTTGGCCAGAACAGAACTTGCTCCACTATAAGATACAGGAAGGGCAGTAACCTGGAGCTTGGCTTACCAGAGCAGGGGTTCTCAACCTGTGTTTTGTGACCCCTTCAGAACAGTAGCAAAATTACAGGTATGAATAGCAACGAAATAATTTTATGGCTGGGGGGTCTCCATAGGTGAGGAACTGTATTAAAGGGTCGCAACATTAGGAGGGCTGAGAACCACTGCTCTAGAGGAAGTCTGGTACAGAAACCATCTACCTGTTTTGTTGTTGTTCAGCGTCCCAGAGCAGTCCCCAACTGTCTCCTTTTATTCCTCTCCCACCTCCCTTCGTTGTCCACGGGCCATAGCCATGGCCTCAGCCACGACCTTACCCTCGTTAGATGGCCGAAGCTGTGATGCAGAGGCACCATACACTCAGATGAGGGGTTGTGGTGAGCTCAGGAGAACTCTGATTCTTTTCCTCCCGTGGAGCCTCTGTTTGCCCTCACTAAGGGAAAGGGGACCCCTGTACCCCCTGAGCTAAGAAAGTTTCATTAGCCAAGGGCCTAGGGCAGGCCAATCAAATGAAATCCTGTCTTAGAAGAGTTCAATGTGCATGCACCTGCAGTGGACAGAGGTGGGAGGTGACACCTTGTCTCTCCAGGGGTTCAGAAAGCCGAGAGGGCTGATCTGCTCTGAGGCAGAATGGGGAGAAGACAGATGGGTGGGTAGTGGCGGCCATGGCAACTCCAGACATGACCCATCCCCGTGGTTTATGGGCCGGACACGCGCCCCGCTCAGCTGAGGCCCAGTCATTTGTCTCCCTTAGTGAGTACGCCAGTCCTGTGGGGGTAGAGGGTAGAGGGAGGGCCATGACAGGAGGAGCTAGGCCGTTGACGGGAAGAGAACAGGAATAGGCCTGGGAGGTATGGTGGGCCAGATGCCGTGATGGCATTGTTGAGAGTTGGGGGAACCTGGAATAAAAAGACAGTCTTCCCAAATAAACCTAGCCCTGTCAGGGCACCTCAAATCCTTCCTGTCTCCAGTACTCTGGAGACCAGGGCTGCTGTGCATATTAAGAATAAGTCCCCTCGTTATCTGCAATTACCCAGCGGCCACACACCTCATTTCTTCTAGCAGAAAAGAAAATTAGTTTTCTATTGACTTCATCTGGCTCCTCCTCATTGCTGGACAAATCACTCAATCTGCCTCCCCTGGTCCAAGTAAATGTCCTAGCCTAGACCCCCAGGCCACCAGTGAGCAAGCGCTCATTTACCTGTGCTGGGAGGTGCCTTCACACCTCCCTCCATCAGTCTTGACCTCTCCCCATGCCACACATGGCACTTCATCCAAGTCATGAGCTCTGGCTGCTCCTGAAGGCCACCTCCCCAACCGGGACTTCCCTCCAGTTTCTCCACAAACTCAAATGTTCAAACAGTTCTCTCCAGATAAACAGATAAAACACCCCCAAATACTGAATATTCTCCCCAAGTTTCCTCTTTCTCCTCGTGCATCCTCAAATCAGCAAATGGCACCATATATAGTCTACTCAGAACTCCCAAGGTTGACACCACACCCACCAGCCAGATCTAAGCAGGTATGAAAGCTGCAGATTTGGTTTCTATGCTATAATCCAGTGGTTCTCAACCTGGGGTCTTGACCAATAGAAAACACATATTTCTGATGCTCTTAGGAACCAGACACTGTCCAGTAGCAAAATGACAGTTATCAAGTAGCAATGAAAATAATTGTATGGTTGGGGGTCACCACACCATGAGGAACTGTACTAAAGGGTTCGGAAGGTTGAGGACCACTGCTAATCAGATGCTTCCCCTCTCTAGCAGCAGGTCACCTGTAATTCTGCTTAACCACTCTAGCCTAGCCCTCAGATCCACCCTCTTGTAGCCAACATGGTCTTTTTTTTCACAAACCTTATGTCCTTCCCTCTTTAAATTCCTTCAATCCTTCTGCCTTCTGCACTTTTGTTTTTGAGATAGGGTCTCACAATGTTCCTGGGTGGCCTGGAACTCAAGAGATCTGTTTCTGCCTCTCAGTGCTTGGGACTAAAAGTGTGCACTTAGCGTGCTTGATTAAAGTCTACACACACACACAAACACGTATTTTAACTGTGTGTGTGTAGGACATAGGACAACTTATGGAAGTTGGTTCTCTCCTTCTGAGTGGCTCTGAGACCAAACTCAGGTCATGGTGGCAAGCACCTTTACCCATGAGCCATCTCACTCATCCTGCACTCCCCTTTTCCTTGAATGCTTCTGGGGGCTTAACCTAGGGCTGTGGACATGCAAGGCACACACTCTCCACTGTGCTAGAGCCTTAGCCTCCTAGTCCAGGCAGGGTCTCTAACTTACTACAGACGAGGATAACGCTGACCTTGAACTCTTGGTCCTGCTTCTATTCTTGAGTGCTACAGTTACAGGTATGTGCCACCTGCCTAGCTCTTAGCCCTTTTTACTTTTGACACAGGTCTCAGTAAGTCACCAAGGGAGGCTTGGACTCACTCAGTGGCCTGGCAGTTCTTGAACCACAATCTTCCTGCTTCAGCCTTGCTATAGCTGGGATGACAGGCCAGTGTGGTCAAGCCTGGCAAATCTTTAATCCAACTCAGTCCTGGCAAAAATCGATCCCTGTTGCTCCTGGCCTCACCCCTAAAAACTGCCCCAAACTTCTACACTACAATTTCCAAGAGCATCTACTGTTTTCTGAAAATGTCAAAGCATGCTATGGAGTCAGTCTGAACTGCAAGTGCGATGTCAGGTGATGTCTGGAAGTGCAGTTTCTCTAGCCTCAGTCGCCCCCCCCGCCCCCACTAGGGGTGAAAACAGCCACAGCAGCACAGTGCACACTGAGCAAATGCTCCCTCCTGCATCTCTGCAGAGCTTCTTTATGTGGCCAGTAGGCTGGAGATCTGATTATCCAAAGGTGAGTGTGGAGACAGATTGTGTATGGCTTAGATGACAGACTGGCTGGCACACATGATGAAACTAATTGTCTTCACTACATAGGCTCACTTATGATCCTATTTATGGCAGATCCTGAGGTCTAACTGTGGTGACTGGTTTCCTATTATGGAGACCCAAAGAGATTGTAGCTGGAGGGCTACAAGAGATGAGGAAAAATCTGCCTCAGGTCACTGTCCAAGTTGGCAGCTACAGGCTGCACGGCCAGGGTTCTTGGAGACTTCTCTGTTGTTGTTTTAATGACATTTATTTCCTTGTGTATAGGGGTGTATTCAGAGGACACCTTGTGGGGTCATTCTCTCCTTCCACCATATGGGTTCCTGGGACTAGGGAAGGGAGAGGTAGACTTGAGGCTCCGAGACCATTTGGGTTAGCTGGCAGCCTTGCCTTTTTAGCACCTCTTGCAGAGCTAATCAGGCCAGCCTAAGAGTGCTATGACATGGGATGGTAGGGGACTGTGTTGTGTCCATAAGGGAGGCCTTTAAGCATAGGTGTTTACTTTCCAGTTCTAGAAGGCTAGCCACATCAGATTGAGAACTTTTTTTAGGACCTTCCTAGTCTTAATGTTAGGAATATTTTTATACTGACCAGACTAGAATGGAAGGGTAAGAGCTCCACAAACCCTCAGAGCTGGGGAGGGGGGGCCCTGGGGGGGGGGAAAGCACCGAGCAAAGAAGGCTAAGGCTGTTAGGTGTCCCCAGAGTCATCAGAGCTGCTTGGGAATCAGCTGCTACTGAGACGGTGGCTGAGGTCCCTCAGGACACACAGTAAGAGTCCACATAAAGGAACCCACCTGAGATGGCACGGCACGCTTGTTAGTTATACTGGTCTGGGAACTAAAGAGTAGAGGACAGGAAGTGAGCCCTAGGACAGGAAACTGGAATAGGCCAGGGGAAACCTTCATGGAGAAAGGGTCCAAGAAGCCCTAGGAAAGTACACCAAGAGTTTCCACTTAGGTACTCACTTCCTTCAGCGCGTGCCAATCCATTCTGTGTGCTGGCTGTATATGGGCCATACTGGGTCCGAGGACATCAACCCAAGATTAGCAACCCACACTCACAGAGCTCCAAGACAGCTCCGTAAGCGGTGCAGCGCTATGAGAAGAGGCGGCATGGAAAAGCTACCTGCTTCTTTCTGAAGCTCAGGAATGGACTCCTGGAAGAACAAAGCTCTGCAAAGGTTGGAGGGAGCTGGCCTAGAACGTGAGGATTAAGGTGAAGAGGCCATACAGGCACGACTGGAAATGATCTGTGGAGTGTCAACGTTAGTCTCACCAAGTGAGTGGGGGTGGCTGACACCCTGAGATGGTGACAAGGTA